CAAAATAGACACACTACATAATTTGTTATAACAAACACTATTTTTAAAGCTTGAAATCCTAATTTTTTTTTCACAACCACAATGTTCAAGTCGAGATGATCGATGTAAAGATTTTTCAATGCTTAACTTGCAATTTCGATGAGTTATGAGGTGAGGAGGATTTACTAATTTTTATAGGGTTGCAGCCCCTATCAAACCATTTTCCATAGTGAAAAGATATTTTTCTTTTTCCAAGTACGTCAGTATGCACATGAGGAACAAAATTTCTCGTTTTATGACTTAGATTAGAAAAGGAATTCGCTACAAGAATCCTGTAAGCAAGTTTGGCCAAAAAACGAAAAAAAAAAAGGCAGAGAAAGTGTGCCACCTTTTGAGTAATCCACCAAAAGCAAAGAAAAAATAGAACTAAACAAAAGCAAACTTAAAAAGCGGCACTACATGAACTACATAAAAGTAATGGTTGGGTAGATTAGCAACAGCACAAGAGTCCCAATTATCCTATTTGACTAAAATTACTAATAGAACACATTTTCCAGGAAAATACTTTCCCCATAAATTGATTTACCTAAAACGTAGTTCCTAGGAATTTGTGGTTCCTTGTGGAATAACCAAACAATGGCAACTGTTCTCATGTCCATAGTTTTCTTTTCTTTTTCTTTTTTTTTTTGAGGAAAATAATTTAGGGGTCAAATCCTGTGAAGATCATTGAATGGGTCAAAAGATCTTAATTACCATAGAGGGTTTATTCTTTACCTTTTATTCCACTCAAGTACATCATCAAAAAATAACTTAAAGAATGTCCAAATTTCCATTTTTTAGGGAACAACAAGTTGCGCAACTTAAAGAATGTCCAAATTTGCATTTTTTAGGGAACAACAAGTAAGGCATTTCAGTAATTTCACCCACTTGACCAAGCAAGGGTACTCTTTTCATTTGATTGGAGCCTCTTAGGTAGGCCTAAACTGCCTTGCTTATTGAAGTTTTTCAACCCTGAACATAGTCAATTTAATACTTTTGATGATATACTTAAGAGAGGTGTCTAAGTAAAATGAAAATTAAAATACAAACATTGCAGTATTAATTAAGATGTTTTAAACCCTTCAATTATTTTGTAAGCAGTTTTGATCCCTTAAAAAGATATTTTTCCCTTCTACCGCTACATATTACATACTGAGTGAAAAATTACATGCATTCGAGGAACCAACCAACCCAAGTCCGTTAACCTCAAACTTCACTATTGCAATTCAAGATGCTCTAAGCTTTTTTCCATTTTTCATAGGTTTTCCAAAAAAACTATAGTATTCCACATAATATGTCTGTTGCTATTAACATTTTAAAAAAAATCAACATTACATCTCAAGTTCAATTCCTATCATTGAACTCTAAAAAAAATTCCCTTAAAAACATAGGAACAACTCCTGAGTAATAATAAATCAAACCAACCTCTCATTCAAACTTATTAAATCCTATAAAAGATGAGGTCATTCCCCTTCGGACCTGTAAGTATCTATGGTTCGATCGAGTGTTTTAGAAAGAACGATAGGTGCGCTAGATCGACTGTCCACCCATGCCAATATGAATTGGCTGAATCGGCAATTTGGATCATCCAAGTTAGTTATACAGAGGAAAAACAAAATTAAAAGTACAAAGCGCATGTTTGGTTAGATTGTGTGGTTCGACATCACAAGTAAGAGGATCGACGACTCTTTTTTTTTTTTCTTTTCTTTTTTTTTTTTGTCATGTTCCTAGAATTTTGATATTAAAAATTTGTAAAGCTGCTGCCGGCTTTCGAAGCCCATGTATTTAAGTAGAAAACCGAAACAATAATGTGTTACAAGATCCTCTCTTTGTGGTGGGTGGAAATTGTGCACGAAAATATTCGGGTGGAAAACGATTCACCAGGGAAGATGGTGAGCTGAAGAAACCGGTGCTGCGGTGCTACAATAAATTAGCTTTTCCCTGTTATCATAGATAATGCCAGTTTTCAAGGAAAATATTTTCGAAACACCGTTTACACGTATTGGTAATAATTTCCCAATGGATTGAGCCGGGGTTTTGCCATTCCCACGTAAACATGGGAAAAGAGGAATATTTAAACCAAGGATTTATGCTATCATGCCAATAGTAAGGAGCAAATTAAAAATTATAAATTATAAATTCACACTATTTTTTCCAATTTTACCTCTATTTAAAAGGTCTTTTGAAAAATTTTTGTTTATAGGTTCTTTCTTTCTTTTTTTTCCCTCAAGTTGACTTTAAGGTTTTGGATGACTTTGGATTTTTGAGGTCTAAAGTTGTTATCTTGGATATTTGAAGTATGAATTATATTAGTGAGAAAAATGTTTGAAATGAGATAAAAAATTGAAGACTCAACGGACCTTCAAGGCCTAAAATAAAAGTAATTTTTGGAAGAGAATAAACAAAAGTCAATTACAAAATTTAAGTAGGGCATTTTTAAATAACGTGGGAATATCCATATAAAGGGAAAATGATGCAGCCCCTTATCCCAATTTAATGTTTTTTTCCTTGTCCTTTTTAACTTTTAGTTATTGTTGTTCTATAGTCCAAATCCCTTTCTCTTTTAATAATATTGTCTCCGCCTCTCTCTTTCTACCCCCATGAACCGTCCCCACCTTTTTTTCCTCTCTGCATGTTACTTTTTTTCTCTTTCCTCTCCGCATGTAGAGAGAGCAAGGGGGCAGAAATTCATGGGAAAAGAAAGAAAGAGATGGAAGGTTAATGGGAGAGAGATGACGGATTATGAGGAAAAGGGATTTGGACTGTCATCGGCATAGCATTTGTCCAAATATTTGGAATGGGATATATGAATCCTAGTTTGTCATTCTACTTTATTAAAAGTTGACTGTAGGGTGATATATGCAAAGAAAATAACAATTTGATGAAAGAAAAAACCAAAAAAAAAAAAAAGGCTTATATAGAGCCGAGGGTTTAAATAATAAAATGAGAGCCCACCTCAAAAAATTCACTAAAAGAGGTTATTGTGATGCTCAAATTGATCAATTATCGTCAAGATGCATGGAAATGAGAAAAAAAAAAAATGGAATTCAAAGTTTTGAAAATAGTGCATCTTGTAATGCATTTTTGGATCATCAATTTTTGAGATTTTCAAGTTTTTATAAATCTACTTCGTTGCACTATTTTTTAAGCTTTAAATTTTATAATCGAAGATGAAAATATATTTTAAAGCTATCACAAAGATTTCCAATATTGAAACCACATTTCTCGACACTATTTGAAGGTGCACTTTATTTCGATTGTTTAGAGCCCTGCTTCTATATAAACCACACCGAAAAAAAACAAAAAAAAAAAAACCAAAAACAAAAGCTAAAATTTATTTATAAAATTTGAGGATTGGTAGGCTACTCATGAACCCATAGGTGTATATGAGACCATAAGATTAGATAGGGGATTTTTCAAATTTCTCACTTAGAAATTCGAGTGTGCAGGAATGTTATCTACCAAACAAAGAAAATCAGCGTCGTTTCCGTCATTTTTGTAGTAAGAAAAAGGAAACCTTATTTTGAGTTAAAAATGACAGGAAAGCCCCACGGTGCACACGATAAACTCGCTTCTCTGGTACCACAACTGCTGCTCCGACTCACACGTGCCATTGACCCCGAATATATTTTTCGTATATCTAAAAAGGTTTAAAAATGAAAAATAAATTTGATCGGTCCAATGACTAAAACGCCCTTAATCCACCCTCCATATTTAAAGAAAGATCACCCGGTTTGATGCCCCCTAATTGGTGCCCAAAATGTTGAAGGAGACGTAGGCTTCATAATTTTGGTGTGTAAGGTCATTTTTGTGAATATCCAAATTTTTTATTTCTATTTTCTCTCTTCCTCTTTTTCATCATGTTATTTGATTCCATCATTTCTTAAGGGGTGTGGTTTCTACAAGGCTGCAACTTTCAACAATCCAATTAAGGCGTACGTTTAAATTTTATTATAACATATAATTTTGTTATAAAAAAATCTTAGGATTATCTGAAAACCTATTTTCATGTCTAATAATAAAAATTTTAACTAGAAAAATGATTAAAACCAAGTAGGTTTATGTAAATATATGAAAATCTTGAAAATGGACGATCTAGATAATGTGTTGCAAGGCGCACCATTTTTGGAACTCAAAATCTTTTTTTTTTTTTTTTCATATTCATACATATCGATGTCGAGATGATCAATTAAAGAGTTTTTCAATATCAAAACAACCATTCTAGATGGATTTTTGAAGTGTATCTTTAATTCTACATCTTAAGGTTGCAACCTTATATAAACTTTTTTCTTTCTTAAGTCCCATAGAGATCTTGAACAATCTGATTCATTTTCTCATTGAGCGAAGGACACAAAATAAATCAGATTTATTTTTCGATCAGAACAAAAAAAATACTAAAATTCTTCAAAAACAGAAAAAACATGGCCAAAATAACACCCAAAATAGTTATTGAGTGAAAGTCTCCCAATATAAACAAAACATTACTTTTAAAGACACTTTTGAAACGTACTTGATCGAAGCTGAGATATTAATGGACTATTAATATGTGCCGAACTTCCCTAAATTTATTTGGCAAGGGGTCGGATAATTGGGCCGAAAGTTTCAACAAATTTGGATCACAACTAAATTTCAGCAATATTCACTGCATAAGGGCATAATGGTCATTCTTCTAGAGTAAGAGGCTGAGAGCAGGATATACATGTCATTTGAGAAATTAATGGTGCCATTCACGGTCATTTGGCTAAAGCAAAAACCAAATAATTGGACCAACAAACCCCACCATCCCGTCAAACAAGGGCCCTCAAGAAAAGATCCAACGGCTGAAAAGCCCTCTCAAAAGCCGACGGTCGATTCCGCCCCGGGCGGCTCGTTGTGGAAAGCCTCGTCCTCTCTTGGCCGCCCGATCGAAAACGGACGGCCGTAATTGAACGCTAGCAATCCGTTGGAAGCCCGCACTACCTCCCCCACTTTAAAACCGCCTCCGGTTCGCACAGAGCAGTTTTCCGTCGCTCCCCTCAAAACTCAGCAGGAAAGACCCTCTCTCTCTCTAAAAACACAAACACAGTCTCTCTCTCTCTAAAAACACAACCACAGTCGCTCTCTCTCTCTCTCTCTCTAACACGACGTCTCTCTTTCTTCTTCCATTCAATGGTTTGCTTTCTCAATCTCTGCCTCTCTAAGAGGATCTCGCGGTACAGAATCCACTGCTTATAAACGGAAAACCAGGAGCGGTTTTCTAACACTATGATGGAAGGCCCCAAGAACCAGAAGCTAACCAGAACCCCTTCCTCTCTCCTCCGATCCCCCACCGTCAAGTCCTCCATTAATGGCCTCTCAATTTTGGAAGAGCAAGCAGAAGATAGCTACAAGAAAACCCACAAATTTATTTCCCCGAAAAGGCCTGGCTTCTTGCTCATTGTGGTGACGATTTCCGCTCCTCTTCTCTGGTTTTACCTGAGATCCATACCTAGCCAAGTCGAGAACTTTCCAATTATGGCAATATGGTTGGATCTCGCCTCTGTTTTGCTTCTCTTCTTTGGGTTTGCCCTTTGGGTTCGAAGGGGTATAGCCGGTTCGACCCTAGGGTTAAGGAGATTGAGCGTTCCTTTCCTGAAACAGCTGGTTCTTCATCTCTATGAGGAGAGACACAGGAAATTAGGGTTTCGTAAAGGGAGCTCTGTTGCATGGTACATCGGAGAGGAGAAATCAGAGCTCAGAGACAGGAGGAAGCTGATTATAAGAGAGGGAGTTGAAGTTTACAGTAATGGCGACATGTACGAAGGCGAATTTCATCAAGGGAGGAGCTCAGGAAGTGGGGTTTATTACTATTTTGGAAGTGGGAGATATGAAGGGGATTGGATTGATGGTAAGTATGATGGCTATGGAATTGAGACTTGGGCACGAGGGAGCAGGTACAGAGGTCAGTATAGACAGGGAATGAGACATGGATATGGAGTTTATAGGTTTTACACAGGGGATAGTTATGCAGGGGAATGGTGTAACGGACAGAGCCATGGTTGTGGGGTTCAGTCCTGCGAGGATGGAAGCCGATATGTTGGCGAGTTTAAGTGTGGGGTGAAGCATGGCTATGGATATTACCAGTTCAGGTGTGAATGCTCTCTCTCTCTCTCTCTCTCTCTCTCTCTCTCTCTCTCTCTCTCTTCTTACTACTTACTTACTTACTTACTTCTTACTTACGTTACGTTACGTTACGTTACGTTACGTTTACGTTTACGTTTACGTTTACGTTTACG